CTCGCTTTCTGTCTCTCTGTCTCTCTCTGTCTGTCTGACGAGCACACGCGCCCTATAGCAAAAACCTCTCAAAAAAAAAAAAAAAAGATAAGTGCTGGTGGGGGTGTGGTGAAAGGGAAACTCTTTTACACTGTTGGTGGGAATGTAAATTGGTCCAGCCAATGTGGAAAACAATTTGGAGATTCCTCAAAGATTTACAAATATAATTACTATATGATCCAGCAAGCTCACTCCTTGGTATCTACCCAAAGGTCAGAAGAATTCTTAATTGGAAAAGTGCTTGCACATCGATGTTTACTGCGGCACTATTTACAATTGCTAAGATATGGAACTGACCCAAATGTCCACTAAGAGATTGAAAAACTGTGGCACATATACTCTATGGGATACTACTCAGTCATAAAAAAATAAAATAAAATAAAATAAAACCCTGGCCTTTTGACAGAAAATGGAAGAATATGGAAGATTTACTGCTGAGTGAAGCTAGTCAGGCTATGAAGGAGTGTATGTCCCCACTTAATAGATACCGAGAGTCCACACTCTGTGACTGAAACTGATTGACTAAAGGATATAGAAACACAGTACATGGATGTGACTATCAGATATAGTGTGTGTTAGAGTAGAGTCTGAGGAGAGACATTTAGAAGAAAAATAGAGAGGCAAAGCATTAATGGGACAAAGAAATGGGGTATTATCTGTTGAAGATAATTTTGTAGTTTTATCAACTGGACTAGGGAGAAATGTTCACATGTTGAAATATTCACTTTGTAACCTAAATAACTTGACTGAATGTATAAACGAAAATGAAATTAAAAAAATAAATACACACTTTAAACCTGAAAAGACAATGATCATTTGCCAATTAGTTTTCATTCAACTATGTATGATATGATCAGAAAACATTCCTCCTTCTCTGCTGGGGTGTTTGTTTCTACCTCTTTGTGTAGTGAGACATTTTCCAAAAAGGACTGCAGAAGAGGTAGCTTAAAAGCGTGTTTGTATGTTTTACATGAACACGAAATGTGCCACTCTGTTTGGACAGGAACCGTGCTGCACTTACTAGCAGAGCCCTCTCACTTGGAGAGATTATTTGGATTTTGAGGGAGATAAACTAGCAGTGTGGCCAGCTTTGACTAAACTGACAAGCAGTGGAGGTGTTAGGAGAACACAGGGGTACACGCAGAATCAAACTGAGGGGGACATAAGAGGAACTCCCTTAAGGAGTCAGGAATGCAGGAAGCCCCATTTACATAGATTTGAAAGTTCCCCATGAACCAGCTAAGGCCCCTCAGTTTTTCTGAGTGGCTGCTACTGCACAATAGGCAAGCATTCGGGGTGCCTCATACTGGAAGGAATCAGAATAATCCGAAACCAGCTACATCTGGCTGAAAGTGACACTTTGTGAAGTATCTATCATCTCCCTATTCAATATCTATCATCTATTTTTATATTTATTATCTAACTATGATCAAGCAATCATCTATGATCTAGCAATCATCTATCTATCATCTATTTATGTATCACCTTCTCAAGCAATGCCACTTGCTGCAGGCTCCTGTTATTTTCCTGTAAGTAGCTGCTGCATTAGAAACTCAGTTAGAGGCTCCAGGGGAGACACGTGTTCCTATCTCAAACTGACTATGATGGATTGAATAATGTCTCCAAAAAGATAGCTGCAAGTCTAACCCTTGGTATCTGTAAATATGACCTTATTCGAAAACAGGGTCTTGGCAGATGTAATTCAGTAGAGGATCTTGGGATGAGGTCATCCTGGATGCAAAATGGGTCCTAAATCAATCGCTGGTGTCTGGACATGAGAAAGATGTGCCCCCGCCTGCGTGACCTGGGGGAGGACAGTGCAAAGGAGCAAAGCCACAGAATTTTGTCGATGGGAGAGCAGAGGAAACACATCCAGGCAGCCTGAGCTTTCAGCCTTGCTTCCCGGGCCTGCCATGGATTTCTCAGAATCTGTCTGGAGCTATTCAACAAGTGTTCAGGGGCCCAGATCTCTAAGAAAGACATAGAATTGTTTTCCAATGGCTCAATCAGTAGGACAGATGGCAGAAAGTCTGGAAGAACTATCCAGGTAATTTCTGGGCCTACGACCTTCATATCCAGCACAGCCTCAAAGGCAGCTTCTAGCTTTGTCTAGTTCTGAGAACCACCTGAGAGACTAGAAGTTTTGCTTCTCCCTACATGGACAGCCAACAAGGCTCACAGGGCTGGGACATGGGGCATAAGCGATTGTGCTAATTCTTGCTTTCTAAGCTCTTCCAGAGAATTATTTCAGGCCCAGGCTGGAAGCCAGATGATTGACAGGGGGTGCGCGTGCTTGGCTTGATCTGAAAGCACAGTGGGTGTGCACAGGTACTCAGGACGCCAAGGAGCTAGAGGGCTGGGGACAGGAGATGGCAGTGTGACGAGAGCCTGTCGACCCTGTCTTTCTCTCTCAGGCATGTGTGCACATTTGCTCCATATTATTAAAAAACTAAAAAGAATGAGTTTGGTCTCAATTTCAGGTCACATATGGGGACTGTCCCTGGTTCTCTGCCATGAATGCATTCCACCTCGAAGATGTATACTCTATGGGAACGTGCTACTCTTACACCTGCTGAAACAGGGCTTCTTCCTTTTTCAAAAGCAGCTTTGCATTGGCTAACATTCTATCAAAAGTGATGTTTTTAGTAGAGCAAACAGTACCATAGCTTTTGTACAAGAAACATGTTATGTTTTCATTATAATTACTAACATACCTTGAATGATACTGAATACATGAATTTGCTCAGAAAGCAAACACCTCTCTATCATTTCTAAAATAATGTTCTAGGACAGGACTGTCATCAGGGAAAATGCAAAAAGGGTGCAAAAAGTCTGTGCTATCGTTTAATAAGCCAGTCAAGTACAAAAACTCTGAGGCCACAAATCCTTAGGGCACTTGAAAATTGTTTGTTTATGGGGCAGCTGTTAGTAATACACTTTTGGGAAGGATGTGCAGAAGGTTGTGTCACAGACATCAAAGTCCTTCTGAGCCCAGAAGACCTGGGACCTTAGGGAATCGTTCACTAGTGATTTAGACTGAAGGTCAGCCCTTCGGCTCACCTTGGCATTTCCTGTGGTGCCTTATACAGAGTAAGTTATTCATAGCTAGTTGTTAAAGAATCATTAGGGAGAATGATTACTCCTTTAGGGAGTAGTGACTGTTCTAGGCTTCTAGGTAAAAATATTACTTACTATGTTAATGACAAAAAAAATGACTCCCTGTAAGACTGGCATCACAACTGTGTTAAATTAATGCTCAACTATAATGTGGGATGCTTTTGATGATCTTATATTGATTAGAAAGTAATGGATCAATTAATTGCCAGTTATTGATTCAACCCCACTTATGTAATCTTGCATGTTTATCATCTCAACGACTGATTAAGGAGCCAGGAAAATTGAATTGGCTCTAGGTTTTTAAAAGGCGCTTCTGTGGAGCAGTCTCAGTGAGGATTCCTGCAGGAGAAGCTGCAGGGCAAAGGATCCTGGGTATGAAGTGGAGCATCAGGTGACCTCATGGAGGTGAGGGCTGCATTGTTTCCTGAGGAATTACCATCAAGGTGATAGTCCAATCCCTCCACTCTGAACTCGGGGGTTTCTGGAGGGAGGACAAGCCATGAACGAAAACAGAAAGCTGCTCAGTGTCAAGTAAAAAGCAGGGCAGGAGAAAGTAGGAGAAAAAGAATAGGATGCGGTACAGGTTTTCAAATCACAAGCTGAAGAACACAGAACGGACATCATACTGGAGACATGGGTAAGTGTGGGGGAGGCCTTATGTTTGCAGCAAGACAGGGACACTGACAGGTGGCACTCTCTGAGGGAAGAAAGTAGCTCTCTGCTGGAAAAGCACAATAACACGCATACACACGCACACACATACACACACATGCACAATATATGCATGTATACATATACATACACATTATACACACATATGCATATATATGCATATACATATAAAATTCAAACCGCATTGCCTCTTAATCAAAGAAATCACTTCTTTGCTTGCCTCACAGCACCCATGACAGAGTTTGGCCAAGGCCATGCTGCCTGGTTTTGGGGGAGTCTTGTAGTCTTCATTGTAGGTAGAGAAAGAAAACTGTCCTTACAAGAGGAAGAATAATTGTCACTACAACTTTGTCCCCCCAGGCTCCACTGGGAAGCCAAGTCAGAGTGGAGGGCCCACGCAAGGAGGACGAATGTCATTTGTATCAGAAAATAAAGCTTTTGAACAGAGGATAATATTTCTAGGAATGACTGCGAATTACAGCAAATGGATTCACACCTACTTCAGAGAAATGCAAGCAAAGTCACACGCTGTATAGTTTTCAAATGCAAGTAACACTCCAGTCCAGGGAATATTTTTCTGAATAATGCCAGTTACTTGGAATCTATGGGAAACACTTTTGGAGACTGACAAAATCCGACATTTATTTTGAAGTTTAACAGGAAGTTAGGCGGCTCACACGTCTGCCATTGCAAAGGTTGCCTCTTGTGGAGAAAAGGACAAACTCTCTTTCGTCTGCATCTAAGCACTCACACCTTGCACTTTTTTCTTCAGTGATGTGATGATTCTACCTGTGTTCACTGCAGGGCGCGTCAGCGAAGCGGTACTAGCACGGCATTCGCGGGAAGGTACGTAGAAAAGGCGACTTCTTACCTGTCTACCGAGAACAAGCAGCGTGATGAAAAATATCGAGAGTGACACAGATCCCATGGTCTTTAGGTCTTTCCAAATACCTGGCCTATTAAAAAACAGACAACATAACAAAACAACATGAACACAGGACTTAGAATTCAAGTATCTACAAACTTCAGTCCTGAGAGCTTGTCTACATGGTGCGTCAGCCAAAAGCACCTATTTCAGATAAATATTCAAACCCACACTGCATCAAGATAAATCAAAAACCTTCTACCTTGAGAGCACAGGAAGAAAAATCCTTCCAAAATAATAGAGCCTTCTTGCTATATATCAAGTTCTAACAAAGGCAAAAGGGAGGAATAGAAGAATATTAATAGCAACTTATTTACACTTTGGGGATCGACGTGGATAATTTGATGTATGGTTTCCTCAAGGTTTTAGTTGTTATCCTCAGAAAGAGACAGTGTGCTTGAAATGAATAATCACACGAGGTCTGAAAATGAAGCGGAAACTCAATTCCCACCAGCTACTCTGCCCTGTGAATCACGCAGCTGCACGTAACCTCCTAGCAGCAGGGCTCTTGCTCAGTCTTTCATCTGACTTCGCACCGGGAAAGCAGCACTGAGATGGAAGGCCACAGAACACAGCCAGCTTCTCGAAGGCCCAGGTACATCAGTGACTGATCCTGCCGAGTTCTCTCTGTGCCGGGGGCGGGTCATCCTCACTACAACATCCAGACAGTGACGGCCAACACAGACCACATCAACTGACGACTGTCATTGCCCACTGACACTCTCGAATGACTCTGGGGAACTAGGACAGGGGAGACGTTCATTACGTACGAGCACCTTGTTGCACAGGGTGTGTCGAGTGTATTTAATTGAGGGCGGGTATCGGGTAACCACTCGCTTTGCAGTTTCCCAGTCCCTCCATGGAGGGTTCCAGGGCCATGAGTTAGTAAAAGGATTTGGGGTAGTACTGAGAGCGCTAGTGAGCTTCCAAGAGAGAGCTGGGTTCACATCTGAGCTGCGGGGTCTTGGATACACCTACGATACACATTCGATAAACCTTGGATACACCTTGGATACACCTCACTTTCCTCATCCATTGCAGGGTTCTCAATACCTACCTCACAGGAAGCTCTGGCCACTGCATGAAATATTTATACACCGGGCACAGAGCCTGAGGCATGGGAAGCCCTTCGTAAATGGCACTCAGGATTCTTAGAATTAATTGCAGAGCGATGAGGGAGAGGGATGTGGCCAGGAAGCTGGAGAAATGGGTAAGGAGGTGCAGATCGGCAGATATCTTTAACAGAATGAAAGATCCATGTGCCAACGAAAGGGAGATTTCTACAGGAACAAGGAGACAGAGTCACCTGGTCCCACTGGTGTCAGGGCATGGGACCTCAGAGGATTCTCCAGAAAGGGTGTACTTTCTTCCTATTGGGGATCTTGCCGTCCACCCAGCCAGCTCTGGCTGAAGAGTCTGGGGTGTAAACTGCCAGGAGGCCATGGCTGCAGAGTGGTGGGAGCAGGAGCATGAAGGAGCAGAGCAGGCCACTCGCCGCTTTCACTCGAGCTCACGTCACGAAGCGGGATGTGTCTTTCCGGGCCCAGGGCAGCTGTGTCTAACAGCACAGTTGAAGTGACCACAAATGTTTAAAAGCAATGCTGACTTCAATGAATTTTAAACTTGTTTTTCTACATCGACTATATTGGCATCACACTGAATAGTTAGTGAAAGGAATTCGACACAACCGATGTCCTAAGAAGCTGGTTCATGCTGACTTGTTAGTTTTCTCATTTTTAAACAATTTTGTTCATTTGACAGATGGTATGTGGGATCACCAAAGAGAGAGAGAGAGAGAGAGAGAGAGAGAAAGGGAGAAGGAGAAAGCAACCCCAGTGAGGTGGGGTCATGCTACAATCCCTTCTCCTCCATTTCTCCATCCTGTTGGGATTTTGGATATGCACACACACATGCTGGCATATTCTCCAAATTGCTGGGGCTGGGATTCAAATGTCAGGGTTCATGTAGGATCCAGCTCCCTTAACTGCCAGTCTATGGGGTCAGCCACAGGTTGAGTTTTGAATTTTCATGTCCCTTCTTGGCTGTCACATTACTTCACAATTCCAAGGGCCCAGAGAAAGCAGCTATGATATTCCCTTCACCTGCCCTCCACTCTGTAAGCCCTAAGCTAAGAGTAAATGCTAACACCTAGGCCAGGATTTTGCAGTGGTTTATCAGTGCTACGAATCAGAACTCAGGCCCCTCTTTCAGTTCCACCGAAGGGACCAGATGCTACAAGTGGGCAGAGCAGCTCAGGTCCTTCTCACTGGAGGAGTCAGAGGCAGGCCCCTCCTCCATAATTCAGGGGCTTGTCCAGGTTTCCACTTAATCGTGCAGAAATGCACCGAGCAACCTGCTGGGAGAAATCCTTTTGGATCTCCCTCGTATTCATGCATTTGAACCCATAGAGGGTGGAAACACCTTGTCCCATGGACTCCTACCTCTAGAGTCCTCTCAAGAAAGTGGAGGGTACAGGCAAGGACTGGAGAAAGCAACACTGGAGGGCTCTCAGTGTTGAACTTGGGAGAAGATGAACATATGGCCTAGGGCCCAGCAGGTGGCATGATGGTTAAGATGCTGGACTCCTACCTGGCCAACCATAGTTTGAGTCCCAGACCCAATGACTTGAAAATCATGCTGTGTGTGTGTGTGTGTGTGTGTGTGTGTGTGTATGTGTATGCACGCATGTGTGCTCAAAGTCCCTAGAGGAAAATCGAAGAGAAGGGACTGTGGCAGGATCACCCCACTGGGGGATGAATTCTCACTTTCCCTCTCTACATCTCTCTCCAGTGAGTGCATGTGCCCTATGACAACCCCCACCAAAAAAAAAAAGTACAGTCTAAAGTGCAGCCTAAACCGACCTCAGAAATGACAAGGCATGGGCAGCCAGGAGAACAGACATGTGGACTGACACAGGGATGCCTTTTCCTCTTCTGCAGTTCAACCAGGAGGGCCTCCATCTTGCTTTCTTGGATTTCACTTCTCAAAAAGTTCTTCTTGGTGAGCAAAAGGAATGGCCAATTCCCAGGGAGGACTTCTCTCTCTCTCATGCTCCACGTGAGGACACATTAGGGCTCTTGTCGTCAAATGACTGACTTCCCCTGCAAAGGTCCTTTCCTGGCCACCCTGCTCCTGTGTCTGTGTGGGAGGAGGGGAACATGCAGTTTGCAGAGAGCATCCAAACCCATGAAGCTCCCGGCATCTTCCTACGGAGTTAGGTTGCATTCACCACCGTATTAGTGTCCTAAGGCGCTTTTATTTTTAAATAATTATTTACTTTATTTTATTTATTCATTCATTTATTTTAAATTGACCACAAAGAGACACAGAGAGAGAGAAGAAAGTGAGAAAGCAAGTTACCCTAACCCTAACCCTGGGAATTGAATTGTGGTCAGCCATGTGGGAATGGCCAGCGCCTTAACCACCACATCAGCTGCTGGCTCCTATGGCTGCTTTAATGTGGTACCACCCCCTAGAGAGCTTAAAACAACCTATAGATGCTCATTATCCCATAGTCTGGAAGCAAGGGGTCTGAAATCAAATGATGCACTCCTGAATCTGGTGGGAAGCCCTACTGTGCTTGTCTCAGCATATGGTGGCTGCTAGTGATCCTTGGCACTCCTTGGTTTTCAGCTCATCACTCCAGCCTCTGCCCCATTACCACACGGCATTCTCCCTGTGTATCTTCATGTGACACTGCGTACTGGATTTGGGCACCCACTACTCCAGCCTGACTCGTCTTAATTAATCGCATCTGCAATGACCCTATTTCCAAATCAGGTCACATTTTGAGTAACTAGTGGTTACAACTGCAACGTATCTATTTGGGAGAAGAAATGATTCAACCCACCAATCATGTTAGCCAATTATAAAGTGATAGCCAGTTGAATGCGAGGTCTCCTCCCCAGCCCCATTTAACCATTAAGAATGACATCCCCTTTGACGGTCACATGCTAGGGTTGCACCCTCACCAAGGGGGTGGGGTGACATGCTAGTATAACTGAGAAGTTTCCAAGGCCATTTCTAACACGGTGACTGTGGTAGCACAATGTGACAGAACACACAGTTTCAGTTCTAAAAATGAGACCTGGGGATTCAGGTGCCCAAACAATGCCTGAAGCCACGCACTAATTTTCAGCCCTTGCCTAAGGCCGCAAATGAAGCAATCATTCTGGCCCTCAAGTTTCAGGCGTCCAGAAAAACAAAATAACCTAACAAATTGGGTGAGAAAGATGGAGGAATTACTTGGTGAACTAGTCTCCACCCTAAAGGCAAATAGTTCAGGTGAGGTAAAAAGGAGTTTTCATCATTCTCAGGAGAGAAAGCAATCTGCGTTTGTAGATACAAACGTAATCTTCACAAAATTTCATGTTTTTCATAAGGCGGGCACCACCACACCCCAAATTTCATGTTTTTCTAGGTGAAATGAGCTTCTCGTTTTTTTAAGAGCAAGAGTACCCAAAGATACCTAGTTTTTGTTGTTTTGGTAACAGTGGACGGGCTAAAGTAAAATCGGATCTTAGATAACTAGTTGGGATAAAAATAGTCTGACCTCTGGGACCTTGACCCCTGAGGCCCATGACTCATAAAGAGAAGTTTACAGAGAGAGGAGCCCACGGCCACTCGGCACCCTCATGGCCTGCAGCTGGCCCACCTCAGCTCTCTGGCTGCCTCCGTGTTACACGTGTGGTAGGAAACACCAGGCTTTGCCCACAGGGGTTCCTGAACCCTGAATCTTCTCTGTGATGAAGCAAAGAGTGAAGGCTCTGTCCGATGTGACACAAGGGCACGTGTGCTCACTGAATCTCACTCAGCATGGACTGCAGCCTGACTTACAGGAGCAGATGACAAACCAAAATGAGACCAAACTGAAAACCCCAGCAAACAAATGTTGGAGTGAAAATTCATAAACTAAATGAAGACAGCCCTGCGCACGGCAGTGAATCTTCATCTCTGACTTGAGAAGGAGCTGGGGACTGTGACCACACCCTCCGGGTACTCTCACTATGACCCCTCGAGCCTGTGAGCAGA